GGTCATATGGTATTTCTAGTCCTGGTGTGACACTGTAGGATAAAGCACTGTCAACCACAAGCTCTAAGTTGGAACTAGCTCAATGGCACTTAACTACAACAACAATGATATTTCTATTTCCATCTTTTGGAGGAAGCATCATACCATTTTCCAGATTGGTTGCACCATTTTACAGTCTCACCAGCAGTGTATGAGGATTCCAGTCTTGACACACCCTTGCCAACATTTGCTGTTTTCTTTTTTTTTTTTAACTTTGCTATTAATCCTGGGGTGAGATGAGATCTCATTTTTATTTTGCATCTCCCCAAAGACTAATGGTCGTAAACATTACTTCATATGTTTGTTGGCCACCTGAATGTTATCTTTAGTGAAATGTCAATGTCCTCTTCCCATTTTTTAATTGGATTGGATTAATTATCCCTTTTTTTGTACTTTGTCTGTTATGTGATTGCCCAAAAAATTTTCCTAGTCTCTTTTTACTCTTTTAGTGAAATCCTTTGATGCACAAAGTGTCTAATTTTTAGGAGGCCCCAGTCATCTAGTTGGTCTTCTGCTTTGTGTGTGTTTGTAATTATATTTGATAGTGCATTTATACCATGTATCAGAGTCTCTTAAATTTGTCCCTTTTTTTCCATTGATGATCTTGACAGTTCTAGGTTTTACATTTAGATGCTTAGTCTTTCTTTAGTTTGTTTTGTATATGGGTGACATAATGGGTCTTGTTCATTCTTCTACAAATGAATATCCAGTTTTGTCAGCATCATTTGTCGAAGAGGCCCCCACTCCTATTTAATGTGTTTCAACCCTTTGTCAAAGGTGGTGGTGGTGGTTTTAAGTGCTGTCAAGTTGGTTCTGACTCATAGAAACCCAGTATAAGGTTTCTGAGAGTGACTGGTGGGTTTGGCCCTCTTATTTTACAGTTAAAAGCCCAGTGCTTATCCACATGAGGACACCTTGTCAAAGGTAGGTAGATGGATTTCTTACTAGGTTCTCATTTCTGTTCTGTTGATCTGGCTGTATTTCATGGTACCATTAGTAGTTTGGGCTACTGTGGCTGTATAGTAGGTTTTGAGATGGGGAAATACGAGGCCTCCTACTTTGTTCTTCTCCTTTAGTAATGCCTCGCTTATCCAGGATCTTTTTCCTTTCCTTATAAAGTTTTTTTTTTTTCCATCTCTTTAAAGAATGATTTTGGAATCTGGATTGGGATGGCATTATATCCATAGATCGCTTTAGGTAGTATTGATGTTTTAACAATGTTAAGTCTTCTATCCATGAGCATGGTATGTTCTTCCATTGATTTAGGTCTCTCTTGGTTTCTTATAGTAATGTTTTTCAGTTTTATTTGTATAGGTCTTTTATTTCCCTGATTAGATTTACTCATACTATATCATCTTTTGGGTGACTTTTGTAAATTATATTGTTTTCCTGATTTTCTTTTCAGAGCCCTTTTTATTAGTGAAAAAGAATCCAACTGATTTTTGTATGTTGACCTGGTACTCTGCCATTTTTCTGTATCTTTCAATAAGTTCCAGTACTTTTCTTGCTTCATCTTTGGAATTTTCTATGTATGGTATCATATCATCTGCAAGTAGAATTTTTCTTCCTCTTTGTCAATTTGGATGCCTTTAATTGCCCATTTTTGCCTTATAGCTCTGGTTAAGTCTTCCAGCACAGTGTCGAGTAGGAGTGGTGGTGGTGGTGGTAAAGGACATCCTTGTCTGGTTCCCGTTCACAAGGGAAGAATGCTTTCAGTTTCCCTCTGTTGATAGTAATCTTGACTAATGGCTTTGAACATATGTCCATAATTATGTTAATGAATTTCCCTTCTATTCCTCTTTTGTTGAGTATTTTTATCAGGAATGGATGTTGGATTTTGTGAGATGCCTTTTCTGTGCCGATTGATATGATCATATGGTTATTTTCCTTTGTTTTATTTATGTGGTGGGTTACTTTGGTTGTATCTATGTTCATGATGGATATTAGTATATGATTTTCCTTTTTATATAATTTTCTTTTTGAATGATGTCTTTGCCTGGTTTTGGTATCAGGGTTATGCTCTGATCATGTCTGTAAGGTCAAGGTGGTTGGTGTATATTGTTTAGTTCTTGTGCATCTTTGAGGTTTTTTTCTAGTTCTGTCCTTCATTGAAAGTGGTGTATTAAAATCTCCTTTTATTATATAGTTGTCTAGTTCTTCAATTGTGTTAAGAGTTTGATTTATACATTTTGGAGTTCTTTATTAGGAGCATAGATATTTATTATGATTATGTCTTTTCTTCAATTTACCCTTTAATCATTATATCACATTTGTATTACAGCTTGTATTGCAGTTTATATACCTGATTCTGTCACTAGATTGAAAACTTCTTAAGGGCAGGGATAGAATTCATTTGCTGCATTTGTGTTCTCTGTGGATAGCTTTGAAAGGTATTTTTCAAAAGTAAGTTTCACCCCCTTCTAAGACTGAGACTCAAGGGGAATACATGAACAGGCATGTGGTCTTGCTGGTGACCACATTGGTCTACCAATAAGGGGAAGTGGGGGGAAAACAGCAATAAGTTGTGAGCTAAGTCTGACCACGTTCAATAGACTCCTGTCAATCTGGGTTGAGTCCTGGCCTGGGCCCAGGGACATGGCCACAGAGGACTAGAGCGGAGAGTGAAGTATCCAGCTGATATGAAGTGAGGGGAGATGCAGAAGAATGCCCATACTTGCAGATAATATCCACTTGACCAGGCTTCAATGGCTGGATAATCAAAATTCAACTAGAGGAAGAAAGAATAGGAGAAATAGAGTAATGCATGACAATTTCATGAACTTGACCTATAGTTATAGACGTAGTAGCTCAAAAGAGGAAATGAATCTTCACAGAAAGTGATCATTCTCACTCCCTGTGTACACAGGGTTGATGGGGATGGACAACTTAGAGGTTGGCTACCCAAAATGGGGGGCTAAAAAGGCATGAAGTGACTGGCTTATAAGCTTTCAAGAGGGAGCCTAGTTCCAGAGGGTGTGGGGGAAGGTATAATCTCCACTGAGTGGTTTCCAACCTGTCTGGATGGGGCTGGTGAAAGGAGATGGGGATAAGACTCTTGTGGTTCAGTTGTGAATAATTGCTATCAGGACTGACTGTGAGGGTTGGAAATGTTAAGGTAAGCATTTTGTGACAAAAGGACGGGAGTGGTTGATCTTGCAGTCCAGGAATGGAGGTCCCTGGGAGAAGAACGGAGTGCAGGACCCTACCCAGAGAAGCAGTGATGCCAGAGATTGAACAAGAGACAATGATGTAGAGAGATGGAGCATCTAGGGACTCTGGACTCAAGGAGGGAAAGGAGGGGCTGTGTGCTGATGGCCGGGGGCAGGGGGGCAGGAAGGCAGGCTTGTGGGTGTACCCTTTAGTTGTTTGATGATGCATCGAGGGGATTGGAATCATTGCAATGAAATGAAATACTATAGGATGAATGTAAAGCTGATGTTCTCCCATGTAAACTATCATTCAATTCACAATAAAAACTTAAAACAAACAAGCATGTGAACATATAGTAGTAGGTTTGTGGTGATCTGAAACTCCCATTTTTCCAGTGAGATCCATATTTAGTTATTATCCACACAGCCAAATGCCTTTACATGCTTAATAAAGCACTAATCAATATCTTTCTGGTATTCTCTTCTTTCAACTAATATCTACTTGACATTAGTTATGATATCCCTTGTTCCATCCATGCACTCTTCTGAATCTAGCTTGAATTTCTGGCAGCTCCCTATCAATGTACTGCTGCCATCATTTTTTATTAGCCTGAGTCAAGTTTTACTTGTGTATGATACTAATAATATGTTTGACAATGAAGGAAAAAAAATTAAGTTTCAAACGACTCTTGCAAAAGAAACAGACTTCAGGCAAGATTGTAGACTAGGCAGAATGCTACACCAGAGCCACTTCACAAGAAAGGAGCCTGGTACCTTGAAGTTATTTCCAAGTTTGAGTCCATAACTCTTTCCTGATTCTATGTATACAGTCTTATGTAGTTCTATATTCCATCAGAATTAGAATACAATCACTTCATGTCAAGTAAGTAACTACGTTTGTTCTGTCATCAAGGAAATTTTTGTCTCTTCTTTTATTTGTTGTCCTAACAATATTAAAGGGCAAGACTTGGACTGCATGGATATTGCACATATGCACAATTGACCAGTGCTTGTCCCAAGCATCTGGAAGTTCTTGTCCATACCCTCAGGTAATCCTGGCTGTGATCATAATAATGTTCTTGGAGAGTTTTTTAAACCGTTCTGTTCTGTTTAAAAATATTTATCCATTTAAGCAATATTGGTGTTTAATGTAGAAAGGGCATCGGTTCTGCTGGCCTAGTTCCTGACCTCGTGAGATAGAACTTTTCTTAGGTCTTAGTCCACCTTCTCATGGTATAAAATTAATTTTATTTACAAGCAAATCAGCATATCAAACGTTCTTGTTACAAGTTATATGAAGGACACTGAGAGGCTTAATCAAGTGTCTTAATGGTAGGTTTTCAGGTATGTTTGTGGTGTCCTTGGCATTGACGGCCATCCCCAGGGTCGGAAGTCAACACTCAAGATCCTGAAACTGTTTGCACATTGCATTTCAAGTTCTCAGTTTTTGATATTTGTTTTTCCCCATAGCGATTTATATGCACCCATAAAACCAGCCCACAACCAGGATCCAGCCCATACAGTTACTCGCCTATTCCAAAAAGCAGAGAATGAAGAAGCTCATTCCCCATTATCCTTTTTTTTTTTTAATTCCTTCTGTGAACCTTACAGCTGGATATGGAAACATCTGTATCTAATTGTTTTCATTTTGGGGTCGTTTTTGGTTGTAGTTTAATTTTTTTTTTTCATTTCACATCAACTGAATGGCTATAACGAACTATAACATAAAGTGTGGTATTTAATCAGAACTTGAGACAGCTGAAGTCAGCCATTCCCAGTAGTGTTTGTTTCTTTTGAATCTTCTTTCTGCAGGTTTTGTTCCTAACTGGCTTTGGCTATGTGTATGTGGACATTGTTCATCAGTGTGGCACTATCTTCATATCTCTGGCCCCAGAAGGAAAAGCAGGACCTATTTTAAGCAATCCCACAAGGTAGGTTGATTTTTTACCCAGTAGCAGAGTAGTAATCTTCCCTGTAAAAAGCTTTATACTATTTATCAATCTTTGCCACCCCTTTTATATATTAGAAGGAACCCTGGTAGTGCAGAGATTGAAGTCCTTGGCAGCTAACTAGAAAGTCAGCCGCTTCACAGGACAAAGCTATGACAGCCTCAGAAACCCTACAGAGTCATTGTGTTCTGTCCTAGAGGGTCGCTAAGAGTCAGAATTGACTCAGCAGCAGTGGGGGGTATATTATACATTAACGCTTTGGGCAAATTACTTCTTAATCCACAATTTAAAATAGTTATTAACATTAAATTGTATATATGATACATGGAGTCCTGATGTGGGGCTCTGGGTTAATGTGTTGGACTGCAAAGTCACTTTGAACCACAAGGTTGGTGGTTCAAGTTCACCAATCGCTCCTTGAGAACCGTATACAGAGTCGCTGTGGCTTGGAACTGGCTCAAGAGCTTTTAACACCACCACCACCAACAAATTATATATAGTAATGTTGCATCTTCCAATTCTTCTCCGTGAGAAGTTCAACAAACTGATTTACCATTATCATAAGCATAAACCTTTTGTTTCCACACAAAAAACTTTGACTTAGTAATTGTTGTTAGGTGTTACTGAGTTGCTTCTGACTCAGTAGCAACCCTCTGTACAACAAAAGAAAATACTGCCGAGTGCAGCACCATCCTCACGAACAGTCTTATGGTAGTGTTGTTGTAGTCACTGTAGCCGTCCATCTCACTGAGGGGCTGCCTCTCTTTTGCTGGCCCTCTACTTTTCTAAGCATGATGGATGTCCTTCTCCAGGGACTGATTCCTTCTGATAACGTGTCAAAAGTATGTGAGACAAGGTCTCACCATCTTGCTCCTGAGGAACATTCTGGTTGTACTTCTTCCAGTATAGCAGTTGGTGTTGCTGTGCGTCATCAAGTTGATTCTGACTCATAACAACCCTGTATAGGGTTTCCAAGAGCAACTGGTAGGTTTGAACCTCCAACCTTGTGGTTAGTGCAGTTAGCTGTCCAGTGTTTATCCCAGAGCACCACATTAGTAATTACTTAATAAATTGTTATTGTTAAATGCCATCAAGTTGATTCCGACTCATAGCGACCCTGTATAGGGTTTCCAAGGAGCAGCTGGTGGGTTTGAACTGTTGACCTTATGGTTCTCAGTCCAGTGCTGATCCACAGCACCACACCAGAAATCCACCTAATAAATAGAGCTACATAAAAAATAAATGCACTTCTAAGAGTCATATTTTCCTCCTTTGACCTGAATGTTGCTCTGAGGTTTTAAAATCATAAGCCAGACAGACTGTTCATGTCCTGATAGCCTTAATATAAGAGAACTCATACAATTTAATAGGAATAATATTCTTTTCCTCCAAAAGGAAATGAGGCAAAAGACAGGAACAGAAAATTCTAGATAGATGAATTACAAGTTATCAGAGAAATGTACATTTAAATAAGATATTATTTCCTTGAAATTCAGTCCTGGTGAAAGTATAAATTGGTACCATTTTCTGGGAATCCTTTTTGTTGTTAAATGTTGTCAAGTTGGTTCCAACTCAGAGATACTCGGTGTAAGGTTTCCAAGGAGCAGCTGGTGGATATGAACCACTGACCTTGTGGTTAGCAGCCCAGCGCTTATCCTGTAGCACCACATCCCATTAGCTTGAAAATTTCAAAACTAGATGCTAATGAAATAACTACAAGTAGACAGAGATATATGCCAAGAGATGTTTATCACATTGTTCATCATCATGGGAAAATATCTAGAGTGTAAATGCCTCTCAGTAGGGAAATGGATAATTAAATAGAAAAGAAATTGTAAAGGGCTGATAGAATTTATAATGAATACAAAAATACATATGATACAATCACATAATTTAACCAAAATATGAAATTAAATATACAAGTATGATCATATACAAGTCTGCTATAAATGCGTGAATATACAGGCATATACATGCAGATTCTAGTACACAGATACAGAAAACATCCCTAGCCAAAAAGACTGAAAGAAAAGAAACAATCAAAATTGCTGATAGATGCAGGATTATAAGTGATTATTTTCACTTTCTACAATTAACATTTATAATCATAAGTAACTAAAATTAAAACATAATGTAATAATACCTTTTGAGCAGAAAGAGAGATAATCTGACTTAACTTTGTAGAGACTGCTGGGCTGCCCTTTGCAAGCAGGCTGTAGAGAAACAAAGATGGAGGCAGGAGATTGGTTAGAAGATTATTATAGTTACTCAGACTGGAGATACAATGGTTTCAATAAAAGTGACCAGACTTTGGGTATCTTTGTAAGATAAAGCATTGGGATATCCTGGCACACTGGATCAAGGTTGAAAATGGAGGCATCAAGGATGACTCCACATTTTTTTATCTGAGAGACTGGAAAGATATGATGCCATCAATTTAGATGATAAAAGACTATCTGTAGGTTTAAGGGTAAGATGAAACGTTTGGTTATAGACATGTAAGTTCAGGTAGGTGCCTTGTAGACATCTAAGTGAATAGGTACAAAGGTAGTTAGAAGTCTGGCGTTCAAGGGAGTTAATCGTGTAACTTTGGAAGTCATCAACACATAGCTGATATTCCAAAGCAGGAGACCACATGAGATCTCCAAGGGAGTGAGTGGAGAAAGGAAAGAGGACCAAAGGCACATTAACTTTAGGAGATCTGGGAGAACAGTCTGGATTATCCTACATGACTAAGGTTAGTGACCAAAGAGGCAGAAACAAGAATGGTATCCTGAAAGACATATCAAGAGCGTGTTTCCAAGAAGAGGATGGCGTTATCACAGTGTCACATGGGTAAGTGAAAAGCTAGAAAGCCATCATTTGATTTAGTCACTTGGAAGTCATGGTGACATTGACATTTGTCATTTTGGTAGACTGGCGAGGGAAAAAGCCTGCTTGGAGCAAGTTTAAGTGCAAGTGGAAGGAAGGAATAGGAGACTATGTATATATGTACACATATATAATACTCCCGTAAAGATTTACACCCTCGGAAACCCTGTACAGGGTCGCTATGGGTCGGAACCGACTCGATGGCACTTAACAACTTAATATAATGCTTTAGAGTTTTCGTGTAGAGAATCAGAGAACCCAGTCTTAGCTAGAAGAAGATTTGGGATTATAAGAGGAATTTTAACACAGGAGAGAGAACATCATGTTTATTACTGCTAGTAATGATCCAGTTAAACATGGAAAGACCAGTGCTGTAGGAGTGGTGTGAATTTCTGAGTGATGTCCTGAGTCGCTTAGAGGAGAGTGAATGAGTGCACAATACAGGGGCTCACCTGACACAGGAGCACGGCAGTACTTCTAGAAATGGTGGGAGAGCAGAGCACATGGGTTTAGGTGCTCATCCATAGACAGCTGTGTTGGGAGTTCATGGTAAGTTTTCTTGTACTTGCTCCACTTCTTAAATTAAGGAACTTAGTTATTTTTATGATGTCTTTCTGCCTTGTCATCATCATGATAGAGAACTAGTACACAACAACCAGAGGGATTTTGGAGTAAGAAATCTGGTGTTGATAAGGGAAACACATACCGAAACACGACAAGAACTTGTAATCGTCCCATCGGGAACATTTCCCAGTACTGTTGGGAGTGTGAGTGGCTCTGTCCAGACACGATGTACTGAACAGTAGAGTTCTTATTTGTTTTTTAGGAGACTCTGGTGTCCCATCAGGAGATATTTCATAAAGCATTATTGATAAAAAAAAATAAGAAGAATGGGGGAAGAATAATATGGTTCTCTTTTCCTCTCTAGGACACTGGAGAAGATTGTTACATTTAAAATGTTCATCACTCAATTGAGCCTGGCAGTGTTTGATGACCTCACACACCACAAAGCATCATCTGAACTTCTGAGACTCACACTGGACAATGTGTTTCTCCAGATGGCCCCAGTGGCTGGTCACCTCCCTGTGGAAGAGACCCCTGAAGCCCTCTTTCAGCTTTACTGTATTGAGGTCTACTGTGGGGACTTGCAGTTGGACAACCAACTTTATAACAAGTCCAATTTCCACTTTGCTGTCTTGGTCTGCCAGGGAGAAAAAACAGAACCTCCTCAGTGTTCCAAACTGCAGAGTCTCCTCGTATCCAGTGAAGATTTGGAAGAGTACAAGGAAAAATGTTTTATCAAACTTCACCTCACCTTAACTGAGGGCACAAGCTTCTTATTTGATATTAATGAGTTCAGTTTTGAATTGAAACCTGCCAGGTTGTATGTGGAAGATACCTTTGTGTACTATGTCAAAACTTTGTTTGACACCTACCTCCCAAACAGCAAGCTGACTGGTCACTCCAGGGCCCTCTCAGGAGGTAAACAGGCGTTGCCTGTGCAAGTCAGCCAGCACGCCAGAGCCTTGGTGAATTCTGTGAAGTTACGGAAGCTGGTAATACAGCCGGTGAACCTCCTCGTCAGTATCCATGCTTCCCTCAAGCTGTATATAGCCTCCGACCACACTCCTCTCTCCTTCTCGGTGTTTGAAAGAGGGCCCATCTTCACCACAGCCAGGCAACTCATCCATGTGCTGGCAATGCACTATGCCGCCGGGGCTCTCTTCAGAGCAGGTGAGGAGGGCAAGCCGGGGGGCTGTGACCTTGCCCTGGATGTCACAAACAAGAATCTGGGCAAAAGCGATATCCTTTGGGTGGTGACATACCTACTCAAAGACAATTATGGTCGCGAGGTGAAAACCATAGATTTGAATCTCAGTTCTGCCAGTTTGGGTTGTCGGGCCTTGGGTAAGTGATTGAACCTTTCTGAGTCTCAGTTTCCTAATCTTATTAAATAGATTTGGGGGGTTTTAAGAGGCTTAGATGAAAGTATGTAAAGGACCTTGCATTTTGCTTGACACTTTAACACTCTAGCAATGGCAGCTTTTCTATTCCTAGTGCTGTGACATGAACGTTTCATTCCATTTAGCAAATTCTTTTTGCTATGGTGTACAGGATACCATATTAGCTCACAGGTACAGCCAGCAAGACTAGCCAAGGCCCTCAGCCCCTAGGTCTAAAAAAAAAAAAAATCCAGTTTTAGGTTATCAGGTTCTTATCACATTCCGTAAGAAATTTGGAAAATTTGTACATGCTAGTAAGATGCAGAAAGGAAACAGCAAAGAGAAGGCTGATGGTGGTCCTACCTGCTCCACAGACCTGGGCCTAATATCAGAGAATGGCCTTGCTCCTTCTTCCTGGCTCATTGCCTTCTGGTGCCAGGCAAGGGGCTTCCTGCTCACCAAGGGCCAGTCTAACTGCTCCGAGAAGCCTACAGTGATGGCTGGAGTACAGGTGCAGTCTTGTACAGGAAGTCCTGTGGGCCACATGGTCCCAGAACAGTTAGGGAATCAGCATCAAAGCACACATTGCTGACCCAGGTTCACTTGAAAGCACTTTCAGTTGGATAGTCTGGCTCCCCATGTTCCAAAGAATCCTAGCAAAGACCACCACCCAGAGTTGACTTTTTTTCCGTCCTTTCTGGCAAAGAGAGGACCCATCGTACTTGCTGGAAGCAACAAAGGAGAGGGTCTTAGAGGACCTTTTTTCTACCCTCTTTGTAACGTATTTGGCAGATGTCGTCCCATGGAAGATTGATATTGTGGCAGAAAACAGCCCATGTTATTGCCATCTTGTTAAGATTAGATTTTCTCCATAATGAAAATTCTTAGAGTTAATAGGTCTGTCCAGAACTCTTAAGCTGAAAATGACGAGATCAGGAGGAGGGCCCTGCTGGCGTTGTTTTGATAGCTTGCACAACAATGAAGAAAGCATTTCCCTCTTGCTAAGAAATCATTTAAAAATAAGCAGTTAACATTTCAGATTTAATAGACAGGGGTATTTATAAACAGTTCCAGAAACGTACTCTTCCAGGCAGTTTTGCTGGAATGAGGTTACCAAGCTCAGATCCGAGTCGTCAGCTGGAGTATGCCTCCCCTTGGTCACCACATAAACGCCGAGGTGTGAGGGCACCCGTCTGTGAAACAAGCTGGCAGAGAAACTCCAGCTTGGGGCACCAAGTAACCGTGTCCCTGAAGCCTGTGTGCTAACAAGGATCACTCTGTTCTGTTTTATGTTTTTAATGAGCTTTCACAAGAACATTCTGTTTGGATTTTTTTTGTAATCCACCTAAAAATCATCTAAGCTTTTGTCCCAACCTCACTGTACACAGTACTGTGACAAGAAATCTGAAGATCGAGGGCCAGGTTTGTGGAGGCTGCTGGGAACTCTGTCACTAGAAACTTAAGTTCAATCTAAAGATTTGGAGGAGAGCAGTGATGGGGAGACCACAGTGAGCAGAGAAGGTCCTGCATCAGCTAAGAGCTGGGGTGGGGGAGTGGGCAGGCTAGCTGCTTCCACTCACTGGGTGCCCACTGCACTGAAAGATTGGAGGAGACCAGCACGCAGTGGTCTTTGCTTGGCAATAGCTACTCTCCAGTCTTGACTTAAATGTGGAATATGTGCAGAGAAGGGGCCCTAACATGCTTCTAGACCAACCTCCTCCAGGTGGGACATAACAACAGATTATGTGTGGCGCTATAGGATAAGCACTGGACCACAAGTTCAGTTTGAACCACCCAGGTGTTCCTCAAAAACCCTATACAGGGTCGTTATGAGTCAGAACTGACTCAAGGGCACTTAACCTCAAAAACAACAGCATTCCAGACTAGTGGGAATCTGTTGTTTTCTTTAGAGCGGTAGCTCCAATGAGGACTATCCCACCCCCTCCCACGAGCAGCTTGCCTCGGCTTTGCAGCCTGATTGTTGGGTGGGGAGTGTCACAGAAAGTGTGGGTGGGCTTTGGAGTCTGTTAAACCTGGGTTGGAAACCCACCCCACATGTCTAACCATCTGTGAGAAGGTGTGAGCATTTGACTTAACCTCTGAGGAGATTAAGAAGCATTCCCTCCTCTTGCCTGGCTGTGAGAGACACTCAGAAGACAAGAGTCCCACCATGACAGACTCACCTGTCCCTGTGCCTGCTCTAACTGGTGACCCCACAAAGGGGCTTAGTCATTATTGGACCACCTGGACTAATGGAAGGGAGATGGTAATATTTCTCATGTGCACAATCACTGTGAGAACTGAATGAGTTGAATACCTGCCCCCATGTTATTTTTGTTAGATACCGTCAAGTTGGTTCCAACTCCTAGTGAACCAATATAGGGTTACCGAGGCTATAAATCCTTAAGGAAACAGAAAGCCTCACCTTTTCCCCATGGAGTGGCGAGTGGATTTGAACTGCTGGCCTTGTGGTTAGTAGCCCAACACATATGTAGCCCACTGTGCTACCAGGGTTCCTTATCTGGCATCTATTGGCCTTACCATTTATAATCATCATCTTCTGGAAATTATTCCTCCTTTGAGGTTATGCATTGGATTATGCATTGGACTGCTAACCGCCAGGTTACTGCCTCGTGGAAGGACGAGGAGGCTGTCTGCTCCCATAAAGACTGACAGCCTCAGGAACCCTAAGCAGGGTCACTATGACCTGGAACCGACTTAATGGTACACAACCACCACCGTCTATGTGAACAGTATTTGGGAATCCTTCCAGAACTGGGCTTGACTGTTATACCCCTCTCTTAACTGAGGGCTGCTCCTCAGTGACCTGCTGGGAGAACGGGGTTGGGGGATGGCTCCCATATAACATAGGTCCTTTTCCTCCAGCCAGGAGGTCAGTGGATTTTCAGAGGTTGGAGTTGCCTTTCCAAATTCCCCTCTTTACCTTGGCCTTGCCTCTAGTCCTCTGAGCCTGTAACCCCAAGTCCCCAGTCTGGGGAGGAAGGAGAATTGAAGTGTCTGGCAGATGCCACCACAGCACATCCCAGGAGGCAGCGGACACAGCAGACAGGCCAGCCCCTGGCAAACCTGACCGTAACTGGAAAACCAGATCCTAGGCCACCCTCCTGGGATGTTCGCAGGGAACACTCCCCGCTCATGAAGCTCATCAGTGTGGCCATGTCACCGATGTTGACACAACTGAAGCTAGGGTACAGGGGAGACATTTGTCTGGCTCTAGTTCTGTTCCAAAGGGAAGCACTTGGTAGGATTGGGAAAGATAAAAAATCACTGCTCCATCCTTGTGAGAAGTTTGCAACACCCAATCTAGCATGTAGCCGCCTCCCCCAGACCAGACATCTCCTCCTCATCCTGGCCCTCCACCACCCCTCGAGGCTCTAAAATAGCCACTAGCAAAAACCTGCAGAGCAAGGAACCCGCCTCCTCTCTGGCTGGGGGAGCCCACATCCCCCCCACGCCCCCCTTGCAGGAACATGGGAGGCTCAGGCAAGGAAGTCATATTAAAGCGATTTGTGAGGCCGCCAAAAGGATCACTTTGATTTATAAAGTATGAAAGCTTGCCATTTGTGAATTCACAGTGAATGAGTTATTTCCCATATTTTGCTCCAGAGAAGCTTATTACATTCTCAATTCTAGTGTGAAAAATGAATTGCAGAGAAAATGGGTCACTTTTTCGAAAATGTTGGAGGTGTTTCCTTTAGGGTTTCGGTAACCCTTTCCCGTTGGTACCATTGCAGGTTGGGTGGTAGGCTCTCTGGAGATCCTCGGCAGTCCTGCGAGTTTGGTGAGAAGCGTAGGAAACGGGATCGCTGACTTCTTCAGGCTTCCGTATGAGGGGCTGACCCGGGGCCCCGGAGCATTTGTCAGTGGCGTTTCCAGAGGGACCACATCATTTGTAAAGCACATTTCCAAAGGTAGCTATTTTGGTTCTTTGCACGAATGCCTCATTATTATTCCTTCCCTGTTTTGTTTAATTATTTTGAAGAGTGTGCTAAAGTTTTAAATGCATTCAGATTGCTTCTAGCTTTGTTGGGCTTGCTGGCTTGCAGGGTAATGTTGGATTTGTAACAGAACTCATATATAATGTCTTATGTTTTAAACAGATCACTACTTGCCTATAGTGTGTGAAAATGTTTCAGAAACTTCAGAATTTTAAACCTCCCACTGGGAAAACAAGGATTGGCTCAACTGCTATTTCATGTGATAAATACAGAAATATTAAAGGTGTTCAGGGCTTCTGCTAAACATCAGAAATCCTACACTGCGTTGCTTCATCATATTTTTTTTTTCATGTAGATACAGTTGTCATAACTTTTGTAAGTATATGGATACATTTTGACATGGAAGCAGATTTGGAGGTACAACGGCCAACTTTCCTCTTGCACGCTGCTAAACAGTGCCATCTTGTGGCCGAGATGAACCATTAGGCACACAGGCCGATTGCTCAAGGCTGTAGCCCAAAAGTGTTGTTGAAAGTGCTGTCAAGTCAGTTCCGACCAACCTGGCGGCGCTATACCAGCCTGAAATGTAGGCATCCCATAAGGAGAACCTGCCCTTAGGTCAGGTTGGCCGTGGCTGGGGAATGAACAAGGGCCCCATTGCTTATTAGCAACCTGGGAAAACACGGCAAAGTGCTTGCTCCCATAAAAGGCATTTTACTATAATGTAAACATAACACTCCATTATGAGTGGACAGGTTGTAGATGTTTCTGTTGTTGCTGTTATTGTTAAGTGCCATTGAGTTAGTTCCCACCCATAGCCACCCTGTATAGAGTTTCCAAGGAGCGGCTGATGGGTTTGAACTGCTGACCTTATGGTTTGCACTCCAGTGCTGATCCTACAGTGCCACAGCAGGAGTCTCTAACAGATCTCAAAAGAAGCCTTGAGTTTGAAATATGAACTCCGTAGATGTGGACGCTGGAATCTTTGTGGTTCTGTTTTTTTTCTGTGAAAATAAGACATCACCACCTCCTAAGTTACCTTCACTTTAGTGGTAACTGGAGCACACTCATTCCTCCTCTTCTACTCATAACAAAGGCTTGTTGTGTGTCCATGTGCGCCTCCTGGTAAAGGTGCAGCTGCAAAAATGGCATCTGCTGTTTCTTCCTGAAATTAGATGTCCAATAACAGATGAGCTGTGTGTTCGCTTCAGGGCGTGCTGTGGATGCCTTTCAGATTTGTTCACTGAGCTACATGCAGACTTGCTAAATGAAATTAAGGCTGTTTGGAACAAGATGCTGAAATTGTCTTAGGAAAGCCAAGCCAACTCGTGGCTTTGAAGTGATTTCCTCCCTTTATCACCCTCTTGGTTTCCAGTTAGCATCTTGAATATCAAAAGTGCACATATATTCCCTGTGGCACAAGACTGATTTCCTCAGTGTGCCAAGTGATACAGTTTAGTGTCTCCCTTTGTTATGACTGAAGTAATAAGGAAGTGGACACATTTCTTAACAGTTTGTCTTAAAATTCAGCACCATGACCTTATCTTCTAAGATCGCTGTAAGCAAGTTTTAAGCTTTCAAAATTGAGCCTCAGTGAGGACTTCAGAACTGTTTTGACCAAACCATGACAACTTAAATGATGTTGTTGTTAGGTGCCATGGAATTGGTTCTGACTTCCACTGTGACCCCCGAATGAGACACTGCCCAGCCCTGTGGCAGCTGCATAATCACTCCTGTGTTTGAGCCAATTGCTGCAGCCACTATGTCGTCTCTCTCATTGAGGGTCTTCCCCTTTGCAGATTAAGTGAAATGCTAGTGAGTTGGCATTTCATCTGGAATTCCAGGTATTTTTCGGTAAGCAGAACTTTTTTTGCCTCACCATCTTAAGTGAGCCATCACCTTCGCAAGTGCTCATCAGCACCTCATTTTCTTAAGGTGACTGCCTGAAATTGCCCAAGATGCAGCCCCCACTGGACCGCCCAGGCCTGTCCAGGAAGGATAGACCTGCTCTCAGCTGCTCCTTTGACTCTCTCCCATTGGTGTCTGCCAGAGGCCACACCTCTGGAGTCTACTGTCTGGTCAGGAAGCCAACCCATGTGTTCTTGTGCCTTCAGGTACCCTCACCTCCATCACCAACCTGGCAACGAGCCTGGCCCGGAACATGGACCGACTCTCGCTGGATGAGGAGCACTACAACCGGCAGGAGGAATGGCGGCGGCAACTCCCAGAGAGCCTGGGCGAGGGGCTCCGACAAGGCTTGTCCCGGCTGGGCATCAGCCTGCTTGGTAAGGGGCCACGAGGGACCCATTTACACTCGAGGATTACAGACAGGGCTTTGTCAGTGGAGGCTAAGAGAGGCCCTGGAAAAGGCCTCGATTCCGTGTGCCATCCTTCTGCTGTGGGTCAGAAGACCCACCAGCATAAATGCCTGTGTTCTGCCTGCCTCTGCCTCTGCTATGAACCTATCTCTGGCCTGAGTGTGGTATTCCATAAGAAAGAACAATCCCAGCAGAGGCGTGGTCACAGGATGGTGGCTTTTTACAGTGAGGAGTGAGCCCAGACCTGGAGAGGCTGGGTTTTGTTTGAGAAGCACTGGAGCAGCATGCAAGTGTCATGTAAGCGTCAGTGAGAAGCTTGCTGTTTCCTTTCGTAGGTCTTCTCAGTGTGCCGGCTCAGCCCAACTCAGTAATTTATTGTTGTCAGGACCCACCATATGGTACGGTTATAGGTGCAGATTGCTGTTGATGTTTCAAGATATTGAAACTATCTGAGACAAAGTTTCTTTGGGAAAATCTATAAAAAGGAGTCTTCAGAGCTGAAATTTGGCAGAGCTGGATCTTCAAGGGTCTTTTTTGTTTATTTGTTTGCAAAGGAATTTAAAACTGTGTTGCTTGGCAGCCTGCCTGCCAGCATCTGAAGGAGTGCACAGCTTGCAGAGATCAAAGTAGCCCAAAGCCGCTCCGAGCAAAGGTTACCAAGGATGAGCTTCAAGGCCTTGTCCTCTTTCCAATCTTTAGTTCTCTGCACAACTCCACAATGTGCAGCCGCAGCCCAGCTGTGGAAGTAGTAAAATGTTACAAGTTCAGGTTAAGTTGCTGGGAATGATTTCAGTCGGAACACTCAGTGGCATGGCACACAGACATTTGATGCCTGGAAACAAGCAGCTAATGAATGACCTGGGGTGAAGAGCTGTCTCCCCGCTTGACCTGGTCACCTTGAAGGCAGCCCTGACTGCTTTGGGGAGGGCAGTGTGTGTCCCCATACTCAGGAGACAACAGCCCCTGTTCTAGTGCCCAGGTCTTTCCTTTGTGACCCTGGACAAGTTCTTTGAGTCTGAAGTTCCCATTTGTTGTATGGAGCTGGCAATTAGAAATACTGATGGTCTTGTGTAGTACTTGGCAGCATTTGGTAAACAACATCCATGGTTTCTCCTGCTATGGTAGCAAAGGAACTTGAGGAATTGCTTGGTTTCAGAGTGTTCCAGGAAAGAGAAACATTCAAACATTTTTGCTTTAGCTTTGGTTTGATGGATTAAGTTGCTATAACCAGAGGAAGTGACTAGGGGGTCATTGTTTTAGGACTTTGGGGGTCTCTTATACTAAGAATTGTAGGCTTACTTGCCCTTGCTTTGGGCATGAAAGCATCTTTCCCTCCACTGAGCTCTTCTGAGAGCTCACAGGTAAGCAGAAAGAGAGGAACTGTGCCGAATGGCCCTGGCTGTTTCCACCCTGACTCCCATCAGAGGGCCCGATCCTCTCCTACCCACAGCAGCCCACACCAACTACCTGATTTCTACTGTATTGAATGGTGCCTAGTGGTGGAAATCAGTTACCTGAGCAGCCACAAATCTGCTATTAATAGGCCAGCCCTCTGGGCATGACTCCCATTGGCCAAGGTGGACAGCCCTAATCTTCCATCCTCACTATGTAGTCATTGTGTCTTGTGCATGCTCATGTGGGCAAGGAAACCATTATGTCTGTCCTTGGACATGGCTGTGGGCTCTTGCATTTCGGTAATTAACATAACCTATGAGTTGAGGGTGAGGTAAATCCCTCCTCTATGCATACTGATTGGACCCAGGGCCTAGGGGCTTCCATTCTTGGGAAAGGACACACTCTGAGCAGCTTGCCTGCCTCTGCACTCTTCAGGTTTTGGTTCACAATGGGCATCTCAAGCTTGAGTCAAACAAATCTCCTTTCTTGTAAAGGAGGAGAACATGTTCATTTTATGTGTATTTACTCATGAGAACTAAGCATTCCAGAACCTGTCTGCAACCCACATAGTCACTGGATTGTCTCAAATCCAGTCCTCTATCTGATGTGTTGACTGGAGAATGAAAAAATGATAGGCTGTCACCATTCCATCCACCCCTTCTTGTTGTTAAGTGCCACTGAGTCAATTCTGACCCATAGCGACCCTGTATAGGGTTTTCAAGGAGCAGCTGGTGAGCTTGAACCACCGACCTTGCAGTTCAAGTGACTTCGCTGTCTGACGCATTTACCCACAGTGCCACACCAGGACTCCTCCACCTCTTGTTGGTGTTGTTAAGTATCATCGAGTCAATTCCAACTCATAGCGACTCTATATAGGGTTTCCAAGGAGCAGGTGATGAGTTTGAACCACCAACCTTGCAGTTCAAGCGACTTCACTGTCTGATGCATTAGCCCCCACAGTGCCACACATTAAATGCCTAACTGAAATTGTTTCCAACTATTGTATGATAGAGAGTGTAGTTGTTCAGTTTCTTCCTTTGTGAGCTAGGACTCAATTGATAAAAAATAGATTTAAAGAACACTTTACAATTCAGAAAGCACTTTCACATCTGCCATTGCATTTGATCTTCACAATCGTAAGCATTTCCCCCGGTCAAGCCTCCAACAAATGAAGAAGCGAGGACCAGAACCTGAGCCTGCCCCCGTGTTACCCACGCTGGCAAGCTCCAGGCCTGGAAAGAGGATATGGGGAAACTGGGCAATTGAAAGTTCCAGGGTAGAACAAGCACATTTCCCCAAAATGTTTATGGGTTTGGATGGTCTGCCTGTCTCTGCCTCACCCACTGAGGAAGTTCCTGGCTGCCTGGCCACACTGCCCCAGGTCAGGGAGGGAAAGTGCAGCTGGCAGAGCCAGCTGGGGTTAGCGCCACAAGTTTTCCAAAAACCTCTGTGTAGCCTGCAGAATTGGCACCAGCCTTGCCCATATTTACCAAATCTGTTCCTCAAACACCCACATTACACCCTGGAGCTGGAGCTGAGAGGTTTGTGTCACTCCCAGTAACAGCTGCACACTCCAGGTTCATTCCCAACATGCCTTCTCTCAAAGACAATGCCAGAACCTACCTTTCGGACCCACTCTTCTTTGGGGCCTCATTCTGACTTAGGAAGCACTGCTATCTTGCCCAGAAGCCACACCCCTTTGTTTCTTAAAGCCACTCTGAGATCTGCCATTTGGAATCCTCCCACCTGGACCTCTCCCAGGTGCATCACAAAGACTTCCCTCCGAATGACACAAAGAGCCGGGTTTGTCTCCAGTTACCAGGAAATGTAGGGATAACTGAGATCTCAGTTGACTCCTCAGTCCAGGTCAGAGAGCCCACAACTGGAATAGCACATGCACCCTGGGTCTCCTTTATCTCTGGATTGATGACTTGTAGCTTGGTGTCCCAGTTTAGGCCAGTGCCTCTGCTATTGTGTCCAAAATAATAGTACCCTGAAGAAAATCTGTAAAGGCTTGCAAAGTGTGGGCAGGCACTTCCGGAGACCTGAGGCTAGGGAGCAGGTCACTGGAGAGGGGAGGGAAGGGTCCTTTTAGTTCTCAAGAAGCCCCTCCTCCTAACTTGAAGGGAACAAAAGGGAGCACCTCCTCCATTTCTGCTTTTCCCCAGAGCTTCCCTCCTCCTACCTCCCCACCCCCAGTTTCATCAAATCACAGCTGCCTCTATGTGCCGCCCTATGGGCCTGACACCAGGAGACAAGTTTGGGAATCAGTTTCTACTACTTAAAGCCTTAGAGCAGAGTTTGCACTGTGACAATAGACAGTTTACTAGTTGTAGGATTTAGCTACTCAGTAAGAGAACCCTGCAAGTCCTGAGTGAAGCTGCCCCTCTCAGACTGGGTTGAAGGGACTGTGGTCTCTGGACCAGTCACACAGAAGGTGAGGAGCTGACCCTGGCACCTGGTGAGCAGTGAGGTGTTGGTGTGTATGACGAGGCCACTGTCTCCCTTGAGGGCCCAGTGCTGAGCTGAGGGCATATGATCTGGCAGTTCCTAAACACATAGACTCTAATACCTTGCTTGTCATGGCTTCAGATTTCCCACTTTTCTCACTGCCCAAATAGTCTGTCAGAGACACAGTAAGTAGAGCCTTCTCCATGGCTGGAGAATGAAGATGATCAAAAGGGAGTCACGCTGTGGATACCTGTTTGCATTTAAGCACATAGACATTCAAGCCCTTTGCAGATAATCTGGTCAAGGCTGTGTTCCTTCTACAGGCTATGCCTGGAACATTAAAGAAAAATGAACCCCCACAACTCATTTTTAAAGGGCTCATCTGCTAACTGAAAGGTTGACCATTCAAACCCACCAGCATCTCTGTGAAGAGAGAGCTGTGGCAGTCTGCTTCCATTAAGAGAAACCCTCGGGGCAGTTCCATTCTTTCCTCTAGGGTTGCCGTGAATGGGAATCAACTCGAGGTGACAGGTTCGGTTAGAAGACCTCCACCTCCTCCTTCACTGGATCTCATCAGCAGCCCCTCACATCAGAGAACAGGGACTGAACCACCATAAAGGCTTTGGGAACATTCACTTGTAATCACCTTCGAATGTAGCCTCCGGTTTCAGATACTGCCTCAAGGAAAACAGAGGGGAGAGGGGTACTTCTGTAGCTATTCTAGAGTGAGAAAGTGGCCAAACCTCGAGGTGAGAGGACTTTCCCCAAGACTCTCAGATCTTCTCTGCAGTTTCATCAACAGGGTAAGTGGCTCATTTAGTGATTGAATATAGGCTGTGCCTCAGACACCTGGGCTTTAAATCCTGCCTCTTCCACTGCATAGCTGTGTGACCATAACCTCTCTCTGCCCGTCTTTATTTATGATATAAAAAAAAGTGTAGAACTCCTAAAATTATGAGTATTAGATCTCATGTAGGTAAATGTCATAGAGTAGCCCTGACACACAGTAAACATTCAAACTATATTACCAAGAATATATTTTATAATTACCATACAACTGTCTTATTAAAAAGTGGAGACACAGTAAGGGGCTGCCCTCTTCCAGTTTTTCCTTGCTGCTGATTCCATGAAGCTGACTAGGAGGCAGCCGAGCAGACTCTCCCCTTGTAAGAAATTGTTGGAGTCTTCCCTCCACTGTCCCCTGACTGCTGAAGGCAGACATGTGGTTGACACTTTGGCAGAGTCTGGTATGTGTGCTAAATTCTGAACTAAACTGCACCGAGCCTGACTGGTGGACCAAACCCAGTGGGAACAGAATTTTGAAGACAATAATAAAAGTCTAACTTAAACAATGCCCTTAGCGGGCTTAGATAATTGGTAAATAAATGTAAAGACCTTTTTAATGAGGGTGGGGTTTCATTTCCAATCCAAATAAAACTGTGTTCCAGATTGAAGGTTTTCATTTTCTGAGAATTTTAAGTCCTTCATGGGGACTTTTGTTGTTTCAGGGGCAATTGCTGGCATAGTCGATCAGCCAATGCAGAACTTCCAGAAAACATCGGAGACCCAGGCTTCAGCAGGACACAAGGCCAAGGGTGTTATCTCAGGTGTGGGGAAAGGCATCATGGGGGTGTTCACCAAGCCCATCGGAGGAGCAGCTGAGCTTGTGTCACAGACTGGCTACGGTGAGCTGGCGGGAAACAGTTCAGGGTAACTTGGACACAGCCAACTACTTTGTATTGTTTTACCCAGGGCTCTCTAAGGTAGACTAGCCCTTCACATGCTAGTGGAGTGAAAATAAGATAAACAGTAGCTACCTTTTTCACTGTGTTTCTTTACACAAAGACTTATACCAAAGCTAAAATAAGTGTAGAGCAAGGAAGTCAATGCGTCCTATCAATGTGTATGTTACAAGATCTTTTTACAGCACAGTTGGTCAGACAGACTTTGATGAAAAGACATCAGTTTTAGAGGTTGGGTGTAATATGAAGAATGTCTTGCAGCAGAGAAAGGAATTATTTTTCCAGTGAGAAGTTTAGAAGGAAAGGTAGGTTCTAATACAGAAGATTCTTTTACGGTACAAGCCGGTGTATGTGCGTGGATGTCTGCTGATACTGGGTGTTTCTTGGCTCACAGCGGCCTCACTCCAACCTCTGCCTCTGTTATCACATGGCCTTTTTGTAAGAACATCAGTCACTGGAATAGGGCCCACTTGAATTCAGTATGGCCTCATCTTAGGAATTACATCCTTAGAAACCCACTGAGGATCCAAGTGGACAGGAATTTGGGGGACACTCTTCACCTTGGAACAGACGCCCTCCTCGCCTGCAGACTCCACCCTGCTCCTTGAGGTCAGACATCCTCTGACCCTGCAGACAGCTGTGAGCACCTGGGGTCGGTCCCTGTCCATGTAGTGCTCACAAGTAATGGGGTGGGGGAGGAAGCACTTCCTCCCCTGCTTGTGTGCATTCTTGGCAGAGCACACTAAAACAACTTTAACCAACTATGTGACTGTAATTGTTACCTTTTTACCTGAAATCGGCTGCCTCATTTTAATCATGAAGCAGGCCGCTGGGCTCCTACCACAACTTACAGGAGGGTTCCTGTTTGTCAGGCTTGGGAGTACTGTGCTTGTTGTGTGCATCTGACCATGAAGTCTGTATGAAGGGTCTCCCCATAGCATCCTGGCCCCCAGCAGATCTGACTGACAGTCTGAGGGGAGGGCAGTGGGAGACGAATGCCCTTTTCGGAACCATCCAGAAAGGAGCCTTTTAGAGAACAGACACACACGTTCCCTCCTCACCTCCCTCTTGATTTCTGCAGTTCTCCTGTGTGACATTTTCACTCCCAGGGAACTGCATGTATAAGAGGGAAAAACTAAACTCGTGTTCATCAAATTTGAATATTAATAAAGCAGTCTCCCTTTTACCCTAGGTCCCAGTGGGGTCAGCTCACGCTTCATAAATTCTCTGGGTGTTGAATAGGCTGTGGTCCCTCACAATGAGTTTCCCAGGGCTGGGAAGCTCTCCCTTAAGTAAAAGCATCTCATAACAGAGTTTCACATGGCCTTTTTGGTTTCCATCATTCTTGTAAAACTTTTATGACTGCACTGAAGGCTTTACAAACCACTAACTCTTAGTCTAATGACTGTTCCTTGTTTATAAACCTTTACAAGCCCTCAGAAAGCACACATACTGTACCATCTTTGGTTCTGGAGATCTCTTTGGAGGCCTGTGTGGTTGCTGCTGGATGCCCTCATTGATGCTGGCCCCAGGGAGAGCTTGTGATAAAGCAGAGGCCCCCAGAGGGCTCCTAAATGTCTATGGGTTCCTGTGTAACAGCCGAATTAAGTCACTTCACATGTAAATACTGTATCTAGGCAAACTGTAATGCGTTTGTGTGTATCTGTGTGTGTGCGTGTGTTGTGTTTCCATTTACTGACCAGTCATACATAGCACAGATAGGGGAGTCTTCTGCTATCACGAAGTTTAACAATTTTGACTTTTTTTAAACACAAATTGTAAACGATGTGTAAGGTTTTAGATTCTCGCTAATTGTTAGTCTCTTGTTTTTATTTGTAGCCAATATAAGATCACCAGGGTTAAGAGCATGGTAATGTTAAATGATTAATCTATACACTTGCTTCCAAAGCTGTGACATCATTGTGCATCTGTAACATTTTATAGATGGCTCTAAGCAGATGACATCACTGTAGCATGGAAATGTTTTCCAGAAAACAACTAGTAAAACTCCCTTCCTTTTCTTACCACAGGTATTTTACACGGAGCTGGACTTTCTCAGCTTCCCAAACAGCGCTATCAGCCAAGTGATCTACATGCTGACCAAGCTCCAAATAGCCATGTCAAATACGTCTGGTAAAACTATTTAGACACTTGCTCAATTTTACATGCATGCTGTATAATAGGTTTTGGCCTGCTCTCAAGCTAATGAGCCATGCTTCCAGGGGAGCCCAGGAGGAGGAGCCATTTTTAGCATCTCAGGCAGCACAAGGGCATCCTAGAGAGCCAGGAAGAGGCTGCTGTTCCCAGATGTGGGCCGCTGGGAACCCTGCCTGTGTGCAGGCCCAAGACTCTCTTTGGAACCACTGTTCTAATTGTTTGTTGCCACCAAACAAGAATCGGCTCATAGCAACAATGTAAATGTTGCCTGGCCCAGCAGTGTTCTAACTAGGGGTGACACTGCTGATGGGAAGAAAGGGGCCAACCTAAGCAGACAGAAAGCTGTCCCTTGGAGCTAGAATTTGGGAAAATGACATTTCAGGTTACAATTCATAATCAGATTGATCAGGCCCCTTTGCCCAGGGGAGCTGTGTGTGGGGCACCCCAACCCCTGGGACATGCAGTAAATACTATATGACCCGCCCTTCTCGCTTTGTAAACAGGAAAATGCTTCAATCGCTGGGCAGACCAGAAGTCCACATGGCCCTGGATGTGGTTCTGGTGAGGGGCTCAGGCCAGGAACACGAAGGGTGCTTGCTGCTGACATCAGAAGTGCTCTTCGTGGTGAGCATCAGTGATGACACGCAGCAGCAGGCCTTCCCCGTCACAGAGATCCACTGTACACAAGACAGCAAGCAAAAAAGCCTGCTCATCCTGCAGCTCCAGCAGCCACGAGTGGCCTGTGACGTGGAGGTATGTTTCAGAAAACCGGTGGCCAAGCCCTGTGCCAATCCGTTACCCCAGGGTATTTGAGCTGTCAGGCAAAGGAAGGGAGTTCTGATGTGGTGATTCAGGTTAACATACTGGACAGCAAAGTTTTAACGGCAAGGTTGGTGATTCAAACTCACCGGTTGCTCCTCGGAAACCCTACAGGGTCACTATGAGTTGAAACCGAGTCAGTGGCAGTTGTGTTGGTGGTAAGGGTCTACTGCAGAGGGGGTTGGCCATCATGTGCAGGGAACGAAGCTGATCTGATCTGTCCTGGGCCCAGGGTCCTAGAGTGGACAGAGCAAAGATGCTCTAAAATGAGGAGGGACAGGGAGGTAGTTTCAGGCACTGATTGTCGAGCAGGTCTCCTGGTCCAAATGGCTGAACATAGTAAAGCAAGTTCAGGAACAGCTATAGCAGCAGACTGCTAAGGAATGTGGGGGAACTCAGGTGTCATATAACTGTTAGACTAGCTCGCCCTTCTCTCTGCGTCCCAGCACTGTATTCTGTGTGGCTCCCTCCATTTTCCAGGGGAAAGGCTACCATAGGGCACATCGTAGGGCTACCGCTCTAGATATGCTTGCAACTAGCCAAACTTATTATGAAAGGAGTCTTCTCTGTTGGAGGTTCCTAGGTGCTCAGGAGTAAGCACTGACCAGTGGCCAGTTCCCTGTATAGTCCAGCCTGGGGTGAACAGGCCCACCCACTGGAAAACTGCTCTCTACACCACCCTCCCAACTTATTACCCCAAGCCACAAGGCTCCAAAAGTTGATCTATGAAACGGACATCTTTTTCCTCACAATGGGGAAGATGGAGGGTTACTAGAGGCAAGCTGGAGCCTGATGGTCCTAATCTGGGGGTATATGACCCCAGCAAACAGCAACCTTGCCTCTAGCAAGTTCTGTCCAATTCCTTCTTACGTTTCTTTCTGGTATGGGAGCCTGCATCTCCCTCACACCACTATTTGGGTAAAATTATCTGAGAAGGTGGAAGGCAGCCAACCACAACTCTGAGATTTCTCTAGTTTTTTGGATCACAATCAATCAGGCTGTAAGCCTGGGCTTGGCTTGAAGACTACATTGCTGCTTTAAGTTGATGACTTTCTGGGAATAAACAGGTCAGATGTCCGAGCTGACTTTATTAGATCTGCCAAAATCTTCTGATTCAGTTGACAATAAAGCAGCAGTGATCTAGCTACAGAACTTGGCAGGGGACAGTATTATTATCTTCAAGTCCTGAGTTTTAATGAGAAACCTCCAAGGCTCTAAAGAATATCTGTGACCATCATTATTCCATAGCTGATTGGGAAATAACTTCAGATCTTAAACTGCTGGAACTAGAGATTCCTCTTTTGCTCTCTCGTCTGCAATCATGACCCTTGTCTTTGGCCTTCCTGTTGGGGAGTCCTGTGGGGAATTATCATTGGAGGAGAATAGACCTCAGTATCTCTAGGGCTTACTCAGATGATAGATCGAGTCACCACCCCTAGAAGTCACCAAGGCTGAAACTATGACTTGAGTTAGCAGCTCTGGACATCGTGCTGGACGCTGGTTTCCCTACTGGATGAAACAGTAGGGAGCTAATATCTTGGGCAAGGGACACTGCAAGGCAGCAACAAGCTTACCCACAGTGTGCCTTCAGCCTCCAAATTCTCCTTTCTTGCATCTCTCAAGTCCTCATTGGTGGTAGTGGTCACAGTTCCAACTCATAGCGACCTTGTGTAGGGTTTCCAAGGCTCTATCTTTCTGGGAGCAGAAAGCCCCATCTGTCTCACATGCAACAGCTGGTAGTTTTAGACTGCTGACTAGGAGGTTAGCAGCCCAACTCATCATAACTACACTAAAAGTCCTTATTAGAAACAAATAATTATCCCATTCATTCTCTGCCCATAGCCCTGACTTCCCTACCCACCCAGAAGAAAGCCCAAGCTGCAAAAAAAAACTGAACTTTTTCCTGTTGGAGACATTAACCTTTGTTAACGAGTGACATTGTCTTCCCACGAGGAGCAGGGAAAGGGTGCCCTCACTGGCACCCTATTGGGCGGCTTTTCCTCTGTGACAGTGCTAGTGTTTGTGTACCCTGACAAAAACCAGAGAGGAATCTTGGTTAAGAAGCCTACCTGCTGCCTTGCTGTCAAAACTAAGAGTAGAGTACTATTTTAAGATCTTCTTATAAAATGGCTTTTCTGGTTATTGGTTTTGTGTTATATGCTAGGAAACAGCTTCTGTGCCTCTTGGAAGGAATTAATTTGTAGGTGATATCATTCAAGTACATTCAAATATGGCTTTAAATAAGAATCCACATTTGCTTTTCTTGGTCAAATGCAGCCTTTTTTAAGGTAATAATTGCTTAATATGCCTGGCACGTTATTGAAATCCCTTCTGAAAGGCTCAGAATGAGTCAAGGGCACTTTATTCCTTGGCCAGGCTCCTTTCACAACACGGGCTTTCCTGTGCTGCTGCTCAGGAGGAGCAATTCCTAATTTCTTGCATGTGCAAAGCTGTCCCACTGAATCCCGACCCCCATCATTTGTTATCAGCTGATTTTTCCTAGTGGTGCACAGCTTTCATCTGTCTGTGAATCTTTGGAGATTTTCTTTCCCAAGCTCAAAATATCTTAACGCCCCCTTTACAGTTTCACTTGATTTCTGCAGGCTCTGCTATGGCTGCATTGTCTCTGTGCTCCGAGACATAAAATAGTTTGACAGAAGGTATTTCTGAGAATTATAAAGCCCTTATTAAAATAATTAAAATTCTTCTTGGTAGGTAAAAGCCCCCACAAGGTCAGTGGCTATCCCAGATTCTCACAGATCAGCGACTTACTTACATTGGAAACGTTCTGCTCCACCTCATGCCCACTAGATAGGTATAGAATGTCTGGGTGGGTTGAAGAATATGGCTCCAGCTGCCTTTGGTGTGGGTGCTTTCTCAGAAAACTGTGCTTCAGAACTTAGGTAGTGTATCTCAGTTCTCCTACTGGAGTTCCACTGAAGATGAGCCAGACATTTATGAACCATAAATGTACTTTGCATCCTCCCTACACATAAAAATTTCCTTTTACTCTGCCCAGTTTTTCTATTTTCTCTGGCTTTAAATCCTGGTATTTGTAAAAACAGAAAAACGTTACAGTTCAAGGTGTATTTATTTTTTCGAGCTTTGTCCAAAGCCACTGAGCTAAAGCACTACTGTGCTCCACTGTTTTGGTCAGATTGAAGATGTCCAGGAAAAGACAGGCTAACGGGTTCATGGTGCTGAATTTAAGCATAGGAAATAGGAAAGGTTTTTCTATGTTCCCTGGCCAAGAACAATGACAGATGTCTTAAAATCGTTAATGAGGAAGGGGTATACTGTTGTCTCACGCAGAGCTTTGGTTTCACTCTTAGCATTGCCACTTCGCAGGGGAAAAGGAAGCAGGGTTTTAGATTAAATGGGACTTTGAGGGTTTGGTACCTGATGAAATCTCCTTTTGGATCTCAGGTGGATGGAGTCCGAGAGAGACTGTCAGAGCAGCAGTACAACCGACTTGTGGACTACATCACAAAGACATCTTGTCACCTGGCCCCCAGCTGCTCTTCCATGCAAACAGCGAGCCCTGTGGTACCTGTGGAGCCTCTTCCCACCACTGTTAAAACGTACCATTATCTGGTTGATCCATATTTTGCTCAGGTCTTCATTAGTAAATTTACTATGGTGAAAAATAAAGCCCTGAGGAAAGGGTTTCCTTGAGTACCCCTCTGAGGTGTTCCTCTTCTAAAATGAACTCAGATTCATACCTTCTCTCTAAAAGAGAAACTTAATGAAAATTGAGTTGGGGGTGTACCACCTACACGAAGTACACTCCTGTTTGCTCTGCACAAGAACCAGGACATTAACTTGCTGCCTACTGCAGAAATGGTCAGGACTCTGGAGAGCTAGAGTTCAACTTCATTCCCAGCTGCATCTGAGAAACCATATTAATACCCTGCCTGTAAAGGTTTGGATTCTGAAAATGAAATTAAATGCTTAGACACTGATGTTTGTTAAATTTGTTTCTTAACTGATGCTATTCTTTTAGTGAAAGCTGGCTATGTAAAATAAAGTCTGCGTTTTCCCAAGTTTACATAAACACTCCAGTGACTGTCCAGGTGTCACTGGAGTGTTTTTGTAAAATATTGTGTAACTTACCACAGATGAGAGCCCAGTGAGTTTCTTTAGTTCCATAGAGAAAACACACTCCCCACAAATCCCCCGTGGAGGGGTTAGCTATAGTACCAGAGGGCATTCTCGGTCACCAGTCAGTTATATTGATTACGTCCAAACTTGGGCCTACACCCTGTCACCCACAATTGTGAGAAGCTACAACTAGTCTTAAGTCTCACATGTTGCTGAACATAAATCAGTTTCTAAAAAGCAATTATGTGAATGAACGGTTTAGGACTGAATATGAAAAATGGCTCCTTCACTAGTTTAACAGTCACTTAGGAAACTGATAGTTTTGTCAACCTCAAGAGTTAACTATTTTTACGAATGTAAATATGTATTCATTCTTGTATCTTTTATGGCAATTTTACATACTGCTTCTAAGAATTGTTATAAAATCATTTCAAATAAAGGGTATCACTAAATCACTGCTCACACACACGTCTCTTCCTACCATGGGCTTTTACATACATTTTTTTCACTGATACTTGGAGTTTAAAGAGGAGAGTTTAACTGGCTCTGTATAATGAACACAGGACTGAGAACCACAAAGTGAGCAGTTAGAGCCCACCAGTCTTTCCTCGGGAGAATGAAGCTTTCTACTCCCGTAAATAGTCTCAGACACCTTATACAGGGTAACCATGAGTCAGAACCTACTCAACAGCACAGAACCACCACTTGGATTTAATACAGTTCCCATCAATCACTAAGATGAAAGACTTGAGTTCTTAATAAAGTTACAATTAGAGATTAACCTAGCTTTGGCTAATAACATAAGCTTAATTTTTAAAGCTCTCAGTAATAAAAGCAAGAGAAGTCCTAAGACCACCTCAGAAGAAAGTTACTCTGTGGTAGGTTGAGTGCCGTAAAGTTGGTTCTGACTCATAGCGATCCTGTGGGCTATAGGATCAGCACTAGACTGCTAGCCACAAGGTTGGCAGTTCAAGTCCATGCGCTCCTTGGAAACCCTATACAGAGTCACTATGAGTCGGAATTGACTCCATAGAACTTAACATAGTTTCTAAGGAGTTGTTGGTGGTTTGAATCACCAACCTTGTGGTTAGCAATACAATGCTTATCCTAGCCATTATCAAACTCAATTCCAGTTAAGTAACTGGTCATTGTGGCTTCCAAGGAGTACTCTGGCTGTACTGCTTCCAACACAGATTTATTCTTTTGGCAGTCCATGGTACTTTCAATATTCTCCTCCAACACCATAACTCAAATGCATCAATTTTTCTATGGTCTTCCACCAAATTCACGGATCTAACTTTTGCATGCGAGATAATTGAAAATAGCATGGCTTGGCTTAGGCGCACCTGAGTCCTCAAACTGCCATCTTTACTCTTCAACACTTTAAAACTGACTTGTACAGCAGATCTGCCCAATGCATTACACCATTTGATTGCTTAACTAATGCTTCCATGAGTATTGATGGTTGATCCGAGCAAAATGAAGTCTTTAACAACTTCAATCTTTTCCCCATTTATAAGGATGCTGTTTATTGGTCCAGTGGTGAGAATTTTTACTTTTGTTTTCTTTACATTGAGGTGCAATCCATATCAAAGGCTGTGTCTTTATCAGTATTTTAAGTCTTCACTTTCAGCAAGCAAGGTGGTATCATCTGCATGTCGGAGGTTGAGCATTCTTCCAATCCTGATGCCACGTTTTCTTCATATAACCCGCTTCTCAGATTATTTGCTTAGCATACAGATTGAGTTAATAGGGTGAAAGAATACCCTGGCGCACACCTTTCCTCATTTTAAACTATTCAGTGTTCCCTTGTTTTCTTCCATCTGCCTCTTGGTACAGGTTCCTCATGAGCACAATTAAGTGTTCGACAATGTTGTCGTTGCTGTCATGACCCACACAATCGAAAGCCTATGCATAGTCAATAAAGCACAGGTAAACATCTTTCTGGTATTTTCTGCTTTTAGCCAAGATCCATTAGACATCAGCAATGCTGTGCCTTGTTCCACATCTTCTGAATCCGGCTTGAACCTCTGGAAGGTCTGATTGTAGCCGTTTCAGTATCACCTTTAGTGAAACTTTACTCCCATGGGATATCCAGGATATCGTCTGATGGTTTCCACATTACACTGGGTCACCTCTCTTTGAAATGGGCACAAATATAGATGATCACTTCCAGTAAGTTGGCCAGGCTTCCAAATTTCTTGGCAGAGATGAGCGAGTACTTCCAGGTGCACTTTGTTGAAGGATTTCAAGGTGTATTCCATCAATCCCTGGTGCCTTGTTCTTTGCCAATGACTTCAGTGTACCTTGGACTATTTCTTTCAGATCATCGGTTCTAGATAATATGCTACCTCTTGAAATGGTTGAACATTGCCCATTTCTTTTTGGTACAATGACTCTGTATTCCTTCCATCTTCTTTTGATGCTTTTTGCACCATTCAGTATGCTGCCCATAGAATCTTTCAATACCGCAATCTAAGTATAAAATCTAAATTTCAGTTATCTACTACTTCGTCTGCCTGGTGTTAGCAGGCTTACCAAAGAGTGGCAATGAATATCAAGAACAGGTTATGTTGGAAAAGTCATCTCTGTCCCTTCTTCTAACACAGGGCTTCGAGCCCACAGTACAGGAGTCATGCTGTTGTGTTGTTAGGTGCCACTGGGTTTTTCCCAAACTCACAGTGACGCACGTACCATATGACAAAGCACTGCCCAATCCTGCACCTTCCTCTCAATAGTTATGTTTGAGCCACTGTGCTAGTCCAGAAGTCACACAGACCTATCAAATCCAGGGCTCAGTCAGGTAATGGCACCTAACAGTACCTCAAAGAAAAGAACGCCACAGCTCTCAAAGATTACTGAAACTGAAACAATGACATTTCTAAATTGTTGAACTCCAGCTCTCTTCAAAAGGTACAGAAACACAGTTAAAAGTCCTGACCACTATAGCTATTTGTAAATGTCATAAATTACCAGCAATAATAATTGAGTAAAGACTTACTGTCCAAAGCATTTGTTTATTTACCAAGCCCACATAGTCATGTTTCGTAGTTCAGGAACACAGGTCAGTGACAACGTTTGTGGAATTCAACCTAAAGACATTCTGTGAAGAGAAATACAAAGGCTAGCTTAGTGACAAACATTCTCTCAGCACCATCATCACAGTTAAGATCACCTGAGGTACACTCCTCTAGTGGACCCAAACTTGGATCACTCACCTTCAGCTCTGGCTGCTGGGCTGCAGGTCCATTCATTCTCCTCTAATCTCCCTCACCATCCCACCAGCCTCTCTTCTCTGCACTGGGCTCACCACACCTTACTGCCACCCCCTGCTTACATACACAGTCTGCTTTCTCATCACCTCCCTTCTGTGCCCTGTCACAATCCATAGTGTTTCCACCATTAGTCAAAAATGGAAGCCCATCTGTTCCTGTCTCCAAATCAATTTTCCTTATAACTTAAAAAAAAAAAAAAAATCCAATTTTTATGAATAAAAAAATATATAAAATTGGCCTGCTAACATTTTTCTGATGTGAAACGCACTCACTGAAGAACATTTTAAAGCTACAAAGTTAAAAGAGCAGTGTTATAATTCCAAATACAACCTTTAAAATATTTTCTTGGGATCCTTTCAATATTGTTTACTGTACAGTTCTGATGTGGCACTGTGGGTTAATGTGCTAGACTGCAAAGTCAGTCTGAATCACAAGATTGGCGGTTCAAGGTCAGCAGCTACTCCTAGGAAACCCTATACAGGGTGCCTATGGTTGGAACCGAATCGACATCACTGAACATTTTTATACAGTATAGATCACCATAAAGGGTCTATAAGATGCTCTTTATTTTCTATCAAATTTTATTACTTTGTGAATATAATTTCTAATGGACATAATGGTAGCACTATAGGATAAAGCACCGGACTGCTATCCAGCCACACCATAGGGAAAAAGTTAAGGCTTTCAGTTCCTGTATAGCTTCACAGTCTTGGAAATTCTATACAGGGTCACTATGAGTCAGAACTGACTCAACACCACCTAACAACAACAACACACAAAATAGTCTATGTTATAAAAAATTAATTTCCTTATCAATTCTATGTTGTTGTTGTTGTTGAGTGCCATCGAGTCGGGTCCGACCCATAGTGACCCTGTACAGGGTTTCCGAGGGTGTAAATCTTTACGGGAGTAGAAAGCCTCATCTTTCTCCCGCGGAGCGGCTGGTAGTTTCAAACCGCTGACCTTGAGGTTCGCAGCCCAATTCGTAACCACTACGCTAAAATAAACATGAATTTATGTCTTCTATTATAAATAATACTGTGGGCACCAAGTGTGTACCTAAGGAACTCTGGTAGCGTAATGGTTACGAATTGGGCTGCGAACCGCAAGGTCAGCAGTTCGAAAACTACCAGCTGTTCTGAGGGAGAAAGATGGGGCTTTCTGCTTCCATAAAGATTTACAGCCTCAGAAACCCTGTACAGGATCGCTGTGAGTTGGAACCAACTCCACGGCACATAACAACAGTGTGTACCTATCTGGGTTTCAGATATGAAGAAAAGTAGTGGTTACATGCCATGGAGTCGGTCCCGACTCATAGCCACCCTGTACAGGGTTTCCGAGGCTGTAAATTTTTCCAGGAGCAGAAAGCCTCATTTTTCTCCCACGGGACAGCTGGTAGTTTCGAACTGCTGACCTTGCGGTTCGCAGCCCGATTTGTAACCACTACGCTACCAGAGCTCCTTAAGAAAACAACTAGACATGGAATATTATGGAATCAAATCTTTTATTGTGCAAAAATCAATGTCAAAATCATTCTGGAATTGCTTAGAAAACTAAGGGGGAAAATTTTTTTTAAGTATAGTTGAAATGCTCATACAACTAGGAGCATTCAGGAACATCTCTGCCTGACAAAACAGTATCTCCACTTTCCCATGTCTTACCAAACTCACTTCCAGGGCTAAGTGGTGGATAGAATCTTGAGATTGTTCTTCCTCAATACTTACATGACAAGAGTCTAGAATATGAACATATTCTAGACACGTACTTGACACATGCTTTCAATTTGGTGAATTCCTTTTCATCAAAGCATAACCAACCCCACCTCTCCCCACGAAAAACTCACTTCTTGCAAGTTGATTCCAACTCATGGCGATCCTATTTCTTGTTGTTATGTGACGTGGAGTCCGATCCGACCCATAGAGACCCTGTAAATCTTTCTCCCATGGAACTGCTGGTAGTTTTGAACTGCTGACCATGAGGTTAGCAGCCCCGCTCGTAACCACTATGCTACCAGAGCGATCCTATAGGACAAAGTAAAACTGCTCCACAGGGTTTATGAGGGTTTATAGAAGTAGACTGCCGCATCCTTCTCCCTTAGGAGCAGCTGCTGAGTTTGAATCATCAACCTTTCAATGACCTGCCCAACATTTAGCCCACCACATACCCACAACTCCTTTCAAAGCAAAGTACCTTCTACAAGTGTGATTTTCCTAATATAAACATAGCAATTAACAACATAATTTGAGAAATAATGAACAAAGTTGCTTCAAATAAAATAACTGTATTACCTTTAACATTCCAAGATCATTTTGCACTCTGAAAAACACCAGCTTTCCTCATTTCCTCAAAATCCTTCATGGAATCATAATTTCTGTAGAAATCTGCATATGCCTTCTTTCGTGGTTCAGCTACTGCAAACTAAAAAGTTAACAGTTCCTTAGGATGTTTTTTCCAACAATTAGAGAAAATGAATACCTAAGGGAAAAGTAAATCCTAGTATGTTTGAATTCACCTTTAATTTGAATTCTTTCTTCCCAAGTCAAGGAAAAAACAGAAAGCGACCAATATATAGCAAGATTGTACCCTTTACTAGGTAGGGCGGGGACAAGAATGGCAAAAGCCAGATGAGCAACCCACAAGACTGAATGGTGTTAAGGAGAAGACAGCAGCCCTCTTTCCAACAATGTGGAAAGAGCCTACATTCGTGAGACTTGCTACATATTTTGATTCAATTGATGCCACAACACACATTTCAAAGGATTCCAAGTAACTGCCTCTGAAAGGCACAGAACAGTTCGGGTTGCTTTACACTTGAACATCATCTAAGCCCTAAGATAGGCACTGACCTGTTTAACCAATGAGGAAAGTTTAAGTGACTTGATCAAGATCTAGGAAGAAGCATTATTAGATGCCAAATGGCAGGTCTGTCATATAACCAAGTTTTTATTCTCCACAAGGCACTATGCAGTAAGTTTTAGAATCCAAATGCAAGTACTATATTGCATATAAATACTAGTAAAAAGTCTTCAAGTGGTAATCCATATCAGAGACTGCAGAAGAAATACATGCACCATGCTACCTGATGGAGTCACATAAGATGGCCTTTCCCTGGCCATACTCTTAGTGCTTCAGCTCCTACTATTCGAATTCCCAACTCCTTCCAGTAACAGAAGAGGCAGCAGCCTGAATGCCATCCTCTAAACTGAGGTTTGTCAGGCTCATTACTACACATGGCAGCTGCTAGCATTTTGTTAACAACAAGACTTCTATTAGAATAATGTAGAACACCAGGGCAGAAATAAAGTAACACACTTGATTAGTAAACAAACAAACAAACAAAAAGGCAAAGTGATTTTATAACAGCACATAAGTTACATTTTTCTAAAAGTCTGAAACATCAAAATTTTGGCAAGAAAAGCATGTAAATTACAAATTTAGGGCCACCTGATCACAAGTACCATGAAAGCCATAAAATAATCTACACCTGAGGTAATATAAAGCTCCCTCACTACCTGATGATTTACAACCTTAATTTACATAATCAAATGTATGCCCAAGGGCACTAGGTTCACTCCTGGGTCCTCAATGTTTCAGGAACTTTCCTTGCAATCAAAGTCAAACAGCTAACTACTGTAAACATAAACACTTTGACTCATTTTATCAAGTGTATTTTGTATATTTCATCTTAAGACTGGCCATTTGTCTAGAATAGTACCAGTTCTACACAACAAGACAGATCTGGAAGCAAAACGTGCCTGTGTGTCTGCGCTGTAAACCTGGTGCCAAGTACCTGCAAACCCCAATGCAACCAACTCATCTGCTATCTGAGGAACAGGCTACATGCTCCCCAGAGAAAACATCTGAGAGGACCTTGAGATAAACTGGAATGTGCCAGACAATGTTGTGAGAGAGAATCCTGATAGAGAAATTGCATGTGGGTGAGTATGGGAGAAAAGGACATGTGAAAGGACAGTCTGAGCTGCTGAACAGTGACAAGGTGTAAAGGGTCAATCAGAAAGATCCTAGGATTAGACCAGCTTGAGCATGGATGGTCTCCCAAGTCACCCACAACCCTTGAAAGAATAGACCATGAAGCCAATTTACAAAGGCTGTGATCAGGAGCTAAACAAAGAAAGAAAAGATATGTGCACACATATCTTTATAAACTCCCTAAAACCAAACACACTGCCAATCAAGTGAATGCTGACTCATAAGAACTCTACAGGACAGGGTAGAACTGCCCCAAAGGCTACAATCTTTATAGACACAAACTACCACTTCTTGCTCCCACAGAGCTGTTCAAACTGCAAAAATATAAAAATTTATTTTTTTACTTCAATCCAAAATTTGAAAGGAACTCTGGTAGGAAAGATGGGGCTTTCTGCTTCCATAAAGATTTACAGCCTCGGAAACCCTGTACAGGGTCGCTATGAGTCAGAACAGGCAGAAAGCCTCATTTTTCTCCCGCGGAGCGGCTGGTAGTTTCGAACCGCTGACCTTAAGGTTCAAACTGCAAAAATATAAAAATTTATTTTTTTACTTCAATCCAAAATTTGAAAGGAACTCTGGTAGAGTAGTGGTTACAAATCAGGCTGCTAATCTCACAGTCAGCAGGTCAAAACTACCAGCTGTTCCGCAGGAGAAAGATGAGGCTTTCTGCTCCTGTAAAGATTTACAGCTTCGGAAACCCTGTACAGGGTCGCTATGAGTCAGAACAGCACATAACAACAACAAGGGAAGAAGAAGAAAAAGGACACACCTGTAAATTTCTTTAAAAAAAAAAAAAGTCTGAACTACAGTCCTTTTCAAATCAAAAACGCACATACTATCTTACCTTAAGCACAAAGTAAAAACCATACATACCTTATAAAAAGCTGCAACCCCCAGAGACATGATGAATGCTCCAACAATATGAACTCGCAGTCGCTTGGCCAGAAGGCCTCGCATCTGAGGTTTCGCTAAAGCACTGGAAGACATGGTGGTGGCTCTTCTCCCTGACAGATAAAATTAATGAAAATCCTTAGGAGAGTAAAACAAGGAAAACGCATACTGCACTGTACTCTAAGAGGTGTAGACAGTAGCTGCCTCCTCCAACAAAGCTAAGGGTGTTTACTGGTGGCTTCTCTTTGTAATATACTGAACAATTACCACCCCCACCCCCACAAACAACCTAGACAACTGGGGCACAACGTAAGTGAGCAAAAACTACAAACACAAACCTCTCGTGAAAGGCAAGTGGTGTTTCTAGACGAATAATTTTAAGTACAAGTATTTCCTATCAACTCATCTAATCTCCTTAACAGCTCTGTGATGATGGTGGTAGGCGCTGTGGTCACTTCCAACTCATAGCAACCCTCTGCACGACAGAATGAAGCGTGGATCTGGTCCTGTGCCAATCCATCTTGTTGAGGGTCTTCCTCTTTTTTAGTTCACCCTTTATCCAACATGATGCCCTTCTCTAGAGACTGGTCCTTTCAGTAACATGTCCAAAGTACATGCGACAAAGACGTCTCGACATCCTCACATCTAAGGCACATTCGGCCGCACTTCTTCCAAAAGAGCTTTGTTCATTCTCCTGGTTGTTGTTGTGAAGTGCCGTCAAGTCGGTTCGACCCATAGCGATCCTGTATAGGGTTTCCGAGGAGCAGCTGGTGAGCTTGAACCTCTGACCTTGCGGTTCAAACGGCTTTGCAGTCTGGCGCAGTAACCCACAGCGCTCCTGGTTGTTGTTGTTGTTGTTAAGTGCCATCGAGTCGATACGGACCCATAGCGACCCTATACAGCGCTCCTGGTAGTCGATGATAATTTTATTATTCTTGGTGAACACCATAAATTCATCCTAATTCACTGTTCACCAGCATATGAGGCAACTGAAAATACCGTGGTGTGAGCCAGGCCACCTTTGTCCTCAAAGTGAGTTCATTAAAAGAGGTCTTTTGCAGCAGGTCATTTAATTTCTTGACTGCTGCTTCCATGTGTGTTGGTTGTGGATGCACGTAAAATGAAATCCTCGATGACTTCCATCTCTTGGTTTATCACGCTGTAGCTTATGGGTCCAGACGTGAGGGGTGTCTTAAACTGACGTATAGTCCTTAGTGAAGGCTGCAGTCTTTGGCCTTCATCACTAACTGCTTCAAGTAACCATCTCAGTGAAATTCTTGTGGTGGTTAAGTGCCGTCGAGTCGGTTCCGACCCATAAAGACCCTGTATAACGCTTTCGAAGAGCAGCTGGGGAGCTTGACCCACCGGCCTTGCAGCCCACGTATTAACCAGCAGCGCCACACCTGGACTCCTCTCAGCAAGATGGTTACTGTTAATACCCCCATTTTAGCGATGAGAAAACGATCACACGTGGGTTACGTAACGTCCCCAAGGTCACACTGTAAACACCCCTCTGACGGGAGCCGAGGCACCTCGGCCTGGACAGCCCAGGCTCCTACTGCTACGCTACACCGCCCCAAGTCCGGGCCCCAAGGGCCGCTCCCTGCACACCTCCCGCCCTTCCTCCACCTTCCTAAGTTCATTCCCAAACGCTACCCACGCAGCCAACACGGACACTGCTTTTCCTAAGCTTTCCTTTACGTGGCTTGACACGATAAGGAAAACACTAACTCCCCCTCACGCTGGGATAAACGGTCAAGTGACCTAACCAAGGTCACACAGACTCGGAAGACGACGCTGGGAACCGGCCCGCACCGTTATAGGCGCAGACTAGGTCCCCAACGCAGAAATGCGGAACTACTCACGCCCAACACAGGCACAGGGCTGTCGGTGGAGAGGAGGCAGTTGTTGGAGCCAGAACGGGGGAAAACACAAACGCTGGCAGGACTCACCTCACCACTAACGTCCTTCTCAACTGATGGAGAAATGGACGGCGTGCCCGTAGTGCGCAGGCGCAGAGAGGGTGGGTGGAAACCTAGAGACGGTGGCCGTAGAAGTTCAAAAGATTTTTGGCACTTTCAACCTCAATTCACAGGTGAAATTTATAGCGGTTTCTTTAGTATATGACCTTGCACTAAAAGCTTGATCTCCTGAGCCAATTTCCTTAGTAAACTGGAGATATTAACCATACTCATATACAGATTTTTATCAAGTTATTGAGATATAAAAAAATACTTCGTATATAAGCCTTTTTTTTTTTTTTTAATGTGACCTACAAATGCCTCAAGGTCAGCAGTTCGAAACTACCAACTGCTCCGCGGGAGAAAGATAAGGCTTTCTGCTCCCGTAAAGATTTGCAGCCTCGGAAACCCTATTCAGGGTCGCTATGGGTCGGAACCTACTCGACGGCACTTAACAACAACAAATACAATACAAATTACTCTGAATTCTGGTGTGGCGCTGAAGTCCTAGCTGGACTACAAAGTCATTTGAACTCTGCAAGGTCGGCGGTTCAAGCTCACCAACTGCTTCTTGGAAACCCTATACCGGGTCGCTATGGGTCGGAACCGACTCAACAGCACTCAACAACAAGGAGTTTTGGTGTGGCAGGCTCCTGGTGTGGCGCTGTAGGATAAGTACTGGGCTGCTAACCACAGGGTCAGTGGTTCAAACCCCAAACCCACCAGCTGTTCCTCGGAAACCCTGTACAGGATCACTATGAGTAGGAACCGAATAAAAACATCAAAGGTTTCTCGAACCATCTGGACAAACCCGTAGAGGACGAATAAGAGTGATTCGCAGACCTCTAGGAGCTCTTTGCCCAGCAGATTAACATCCGCAAAGTAGATGCTCCCACGGAAATGTGGCCCCACTACTGCAGAGGCTACTACCTGCCAGGTGGTGGTGGTTGCTATTTAATTGCCGTAAAGTAGGTTCCGACTCATAGTGACTTGGTTTCCGAGGAGAGAGGCTTGTGGGTTTGAATGGCCGACCTTGTGGTTAGTAGTCCAGTCCTTATGGATCATGGATAAATGTTTTGAAACAGTGAAGGACGGCAACATAAAATTCATGGAAAGTGATATACAAAGACAAAACTCCTATGCCTTAGGAGTGCTGGGCTTGGCTTTTATGGAGATTAACTGGATTTGCATGATAGTATTTAAACCATCTCAGCAAGCCTTTGGAAGATTAACTGGGAGACATGAAAGATACAAGAATCAGCTGTATTGTATGAGTACATACCATATGCCAGGCTCTGTAACACAGTAGGATCAATCTAGTGAGAACCTTCAAGTGGTGCATTCCTGATTCCTGTCAGGGATTCTTGGTCCTCAACTTGCTAGCAGATGCTGGGGGACATGACGGTTTTCAGTGACCAGAAAACTGCTGAGAACCACATGGTTTGGATCTAAACCCTTAGAATGAGTTTAGATCTGGGCAACATTTTTTTTTTCCCCAGGCCCCCAATTAGGGGAGTCAGGAGCCTTAATAGCATAGTGGGTTATGTTCCAGCAGCTCCTCCTCAGGAGAGAGATGAGGCTTTCTGCTCTCATAAAGAGTTACGGCCTCAAAAACCATATCCAGGCTCGCTCTGAGTCAGAACCGACTAAGCAGCACACCAGCAGCATGAAATATTTAGGAGTCCTGCTATAGCGCTGTAGGATAAGCACTGGGATAAAAACCTTAAGGTCAGCAGTTCAAACCCACCAGCCAATCCTTGGAAACAATAATTAAGGGTTTAGAATTAAACCAAAATCAAAGTCAACTCCCCTGCCTTTGAATAGATCCAGACTCATAACTACCTTTACATGGTGTTTGTCTAGATGCATGGTGGAGCAGTGGTTAACCTCTCAGTTGCTGGCTGCTAATTGAAACATCAGTGGTTAAAACCTACTAGCACATCCCAGGAGATACTGTAGTCTGCCAAAAAACCCCACTGCCATCAAGTTGATTCAGAATTATAGCAACCCTATGTGGTAGACTAGAACAGTCCCGTAGGACATCCAAAGCTATAACTCTTTATGGAAGCCAACAACCACATCTTTTTCCCATAGAGTGGCTGGTGGGTTTAAACCACCAACCTTTGGGTAGCTGCTGAGTACTTTAACCACTGTGCCACCAGTACTCCTTCTGTAATTCCATTGTGCCTTGGAAACTTTATGGGGGCAATACTCCTCTGTTCTATAGTGTTGCTACGAGTTAAAAGCTACTTGAAGGAAACTGGTTTGGTTTTGGTTTAATTTATTCCTACTTCCTTGCCATCCTTCCTCACTTATCTGTCAGTTTGTGGTGGCTGGTATAGTGCTGTGTTACTGGAAAGTATGCTGCCAGTAGCAGGGCCACCCATTGTGGACAAGTTTTAGCAGAGCTTCCAGATTAAGACAGACTAGAAAGGAAAGGCAGACAAATTCAGAATGGTTAACCACTGAAAACCTATGTAAAGCAGTGGAGCATTGTCAAATATAGTACCACAATATGAGCCCCTCAAGTTAGAATGCACTCAAAATACGACTGAGGAACAGCTGTCTCCTCAAAGTACAGTTGACTTTAATGATGTGGACGGAGTTAAACTTTCGGGACTTTCATTTGCTGATGTGGCACAACTCAAAATAAGAAACAGCTGCAAAATCCATTAATAATTGGAACCTGAAAAGTACAAAGTATAAATCTACAAACACTGGAAGTTATAAAAAATGAAATGGAATGCATAGATATCCATATCCTAGGCATTGGTGGTGGTAGCTATGTGCTGTGGAGTTGGTTCCGACTCATAACAACCCTGTACAGAGTTTCTGAGACTATAAATCTTTATAGGAGCAGAAAGGCATTAGTGAGCCAAAATTGACTGACATTTGCATTTTGAATCAGACAATCACATGGTTTACTATTCCAGGATTGAAAAAGAGGAATGATGTCACATTAATTGTCCAAAAAAAAAAAAAAAATGCATCTCAGGATCTGTCTTGAACACTTGGGTGGGATAGAAAGTAATATCAGGAAACATGATTGCTGAAAGCTTGTAAGCCCATCTTCATCCAATAGCTGAATGGAATACCTAAAATGGGTTCTAAAATTTGCCCAGTGAAATAGACTTCTGTGGAGCCGTTGAAGTGTATAGGATTTAGGTAGAATGCTGAGCCCCATTCAGAACTTTCTAAGGTGTGACATTCCCACTTGAAAGGACATATAGACCAGCCCAGAGAGACTAGAGGGACAGAAGATACTTTCTGAAAGAGAGACCAGCAGGAAAACTCAAAAACAAAAATGGCAGTCTGATTGTCTACTGCAAGAACAAGCAAGATGCTTGCTGGGGAGCCATAAAGTCCCTTCAGGACAAATCCCCCTCCAAGACTGAAACTCAAAGGACACACTAGTAGGCATGTAAACATGCTGGTGACTGTGTTGGTCTCCTGGTGAGTGGAAGAGGAGGAAAGGCAGCAATGAAGATATGGCCTGACATATAAGCTTGCTGGTGCCCATGTTGGTCTACTGGTGAATGGAAGAGGGGGAAAGGCAGCAATGAAGAAATGGGCTGAGTTCAAACACGTTCCACAGAGTTCTGTGGACCTGGAGATGAGAAAGAGAATAATAAGTGCTGATTGGTCCAAAATATGGTGTGTCCTGGGGACGCCTGAGCCTATGGACAAGGACATATCCATAGAGGTCTAGAGCTCAGAGTGAAGCATCCAGCTGATATGAAGTGAGAGGGGTCACACAAAAACACCCAAAGTTGCAGATAGTACCCATTTGACCAAGTCTTGATGGATTGATAATCAGAACACGACTAGAGGAGATTAAAAAAATAAAAACGTAACAAATTTTGATAAAGGAAACAAGGGTAAATTGCTACAATTTGATGAACTTGACCTATTCTCATGTGTGGGAAGCGCTTAACTCCCATTGCTTGGCAAGGCCGCACGGCGGGGAGAGACATTATGCACGGCAAATGACTCTCAAAAGCTAGCCCCTATCTTCCCTTCAAGTTAGCTCTGAATTTACTTGTAAAAATATATAATATGGCAATATTCACAGCCTTTCACTATGAATTCTACAAACCTTAGGAAAAACCAGCTTAGCAACAATTGCTTTCAGCTTTGGTGGATTGAATACAAAGAGAAATTGTGTAAATTACTCCCTTTCATTAGAAAACCTAAGTAACTGCATTTGTGAGGCCACAAAAGCAGATAGCATATTAGAATCAAGCTGATCTACCCCCATAGGCCTCACCACATTCAGTCACTAGCTAGAATTCACAAAACCCTTTATATAGACACCTGTGTAAACAAGTAGACAATAATGAACTTAAGTGAAGGATAGTTTTGACTTAATAATCTACACTTCTTGCAGCAAGTAGCCAGGTTGGGCTTTATGCCACATAGCTTCCAAGTGATTTAATGAATACCTTTATTATGAAAATAATAGCACATTATGTAGGATAGAAAGTTTATAATCTTTTAGTAGAAACAAGAAGAAACAGTTTTATCTCATAGTGGGACAGGAGATGAAGGTCAGTCTGAACATCACAGAAGTATTTTTGTCAAGGTTGTCTAATGACCAGGTGCAAGAATGTTGTGACTAACTGTGTAATAATTCAAGAAAAGATAAAAGTGTCAATGCATGTACTGTGTAATTTTAAGTATAAAAAATAAAGACTTGCTGAGCTGGGCTGGCAGAAGTGGCAGAAGCAGCAGAAAGTAGGAGGAAGAGAAAGAGGGCAGAAGCAGCAGAGGAAAGCAGAGAGCAAGAGTAGAGGCAGTAGGGGCAGAGGCAGAAAGAAGTAGGAGGCAGAAAGAATCAGGAGCAGAGAGCAGAAGCTGGAGAGAACAGCCAGACAGCACAGCAAGCTGAAAGGCCTTTCGATTATATTCATTCATTTCTTCATTCGACGATTCCGTGTATCCTCTCGTGTCTCACGACCCCCGTGGAGAGCAGGTACTCCCCGCACTCATGGAGGTAATAACTCTAAATACCAACAGAGAGGGAAGGAGTCTTCACATCAAGTATCAATGCTATCCCCTCTGTACACAGGGTAAA